CAGAGTTGTTTGGTGTTCTTTCACTTGCAGAGGAGGACTGGGGTCTGGGAGAGCTGTTGTTTTGCTTGGTGGGGAGGGAGGGTATCATCAAATCGCACCTGCCACCCTCACCCCTCAGCATGAATGTTGGCCGTGGACCTCCAGCAGGGAAGAAGCCTCTGCTTTGTCCCCCAGGGAGCTCGTGGCACCATTTTAATGATTTTAATGAAGTGGCAAGAGAGCACTAAGACAGAAGAGCAGATGGGAGAGTGGAGTAGATTAACAACAGAAGGTACACAGAACCCATGGGTAGACAGGGAGTAAACCCCAAAGGTCCTGCGGATCAGAGGACCCAAATGGTGGAAGGAGCTAAGAGTCTTCCAGGTGCTGCCCTCAGTTATCAACAGCACGTGGGAGAAGGCGCCAAACCACATTTCATGACCCTTGAGTAGGAGGTCTGAATGGGTATCAGACCTCTGCCTTCAAGGAATTTAAAGTTTTGCCTACTGGAAATCGTTAGAATCACAAAACTAAGTTATAGAGAGAGATCATCTACAATAGTTTCCACCCTCTCTCTACCAGACAAGCGAGAGGATACAGAAGAAGTGAGACCCAGAACATTAAGGGCAAGTCTCAAGACCTGGTGATGACAGCTACAGCATGCTCTGAACCAGAGGATTCCTCAGCTTTGAAGCCCTGGGGAAAAACACCAAGAGAAACAGGCCAAGAGGTGTGCAAGGGATTAAACATGACCCTGCCAGTGTCGCTTAGCTGCTTCCTCAAGGCCGCAAGGAAAGCTGTAGTCTCCAGGACATGGCCTTCTTGGGTCCCTCTTCCAATTTCCTGTCTCCTGCATATAACAAAATTATCTTTTTTAAAAAATGGGTTTTCCAGTGAAAACCAGAAAACCAGCTAGACAAATTCTAAAAAAAAAAAAACCTGGATCCGGCCAAGCATGGTGGCTCACGCCTGTAATCCCAGCACTTTGGAAGGCTGAGGTGGGCGGATCATGAGGTCAGGAGTTGGAGACCAGCCTGACCAACATAGTGAAACATCGTTTCTACTAAAAATATAAAAATTAGCCAGGCATTGTGGCATGCCCTGTGATCCCAGCTACTCAGGAGGCTGAGGCAGAAGAATCACTTGAACCCAGGAAGCAGAGGTTGTAGTGAGCCGAGATTGTGTCATTGCACTCCAGCCTGGGCAACAGAGCAAGACTCCATCTCAAAAGATTTTTTTAAAAAATTAAAAAGCTGGAACACTAACAACTTTATTTTAAGGCATTTCTGCCACACTGGAGTCCTAGAGGAGACAGTAGAATATGCATTCCTTTATCTGGAGCTGGAGGCAGGCCCACCTCCTGTGTGTTCACAGGCAGCACTCTGCAGTGTCTTGTTACAATGTTTAAGGGAAGGAGAGAAAAGTATAATACCTGCTTCCCCATGGAAATGAAAGGCTAATGGGAGCTGACGTAAGAAATCGCTTTTAGGAATTCTGAGAGAAGTGAGCCAGACACATGAGGCCGGCCATCATGGCCATCCTCCTCATCCTGATTGCTCAGCTCAAAGAAAGGGGAGGCCCAAACGCAGCCCAGGACCCTAAGGAGAGATAGAGCAGGGAACAGGAGCACCAATTCTATGCCAAGTGGATCATACACATGCCCTGGTTAGTCCTACATGTGCCATGTGACTATCTACATTGTAATGCTCAAGTAAGGTGTATAATTTGCCCATGGTTGTACAGCTGGTGAGTGGCAGAATGAAATCTCATCTGTAATACATCCTGCTGCCCCTGGGTTCAAGCCTGACAACAAATAGCATCAGTGTTGAGTGTGCCTGGGAGGGTGGGAGTGAGGATTTAACCTACGTGCCTACCTGAGTCAACAAAATGCACCACGAAAGAGGCAGGACAATACCAACCTAGAGAACAACAAACTTTCCTGTTTGAGTGTTTCATGGAGAAAAAAAATTAAAAATTAAATAGAAAACAAATCAGCAAAAACTAGAAGGAAAAAGAAGAAACAGCAATGTAAAATAAATAATACACAAAGTAGGATGGAAGGAATGAGATGAAGTGAATCTACCATTATCTAAATATGAGTGGATAGAATTTTCTCTCATTACAAAATAGATGTGTTTAGAAAAAATAAAACCCAGTTATGTGCTATGTATAGAAACACACTAAAAGTAATGAAAATGGCTAAAAATAAAGGGGTGACAAAGAGAAAATAGGCAAATACAAAGAACAAGAGCAAGAATGGAAATGTCAGTATCAGACAGAGTAGAATTTAAGGTTAAAAACACTCCACAGTATATTATGTAATGACAAAAGACATAATCCATTAAGAAGATATAGTGGCAGTAAACTCTATGTCCCGATTACCAGAAGAACTGAAGACTTTAAATTAGAAGCCACTAGAAATGCAGGGAACTTGACAAAAAATAGAAATACAATTAGATTAATATACCTCTCTTAGAATTAGATATATTTAATAGACAAAAAGACATAGTCTCAGTGCTTATATAGGTTGGGGTTAAAAAATAAAGACATGGAAGAATTTAATAATGCAATTAGTAAGCCTGGTCTCAGGCTCTATGTAGGATCTTTGAATAGCAGTTGCACATTTTTTGGTTTATATTCATGGAATGTACACAAAAATCAAATTTTGGCTAGCACTCCCCACTCCCAAAAAATTTAGAAACAATTAATGTGGTGATAAATATTATAACTTTGTAAAAATTAAGAAACATTCTATTGGATCAGAGAGAAAAGTTAAAGATTTCAAACTGCCTAGAAAGCAACAACAAAAAAACACTCATTATACCCAAACTTAATAGCATATAGCCAAAGCTGTACTCAGAGGGAAAACCTAAGCTTTAAATGCCTGCAGATGGATTTGTGTGTGTGTGTGTGTGTGTGTGTGTGTGTGTGTGTGTGTGAATATTTTATTCTCCTTAATAAGGTAGCAAATAGCAACCAAAAATACTAGAAAAAAGAAATTGATAAATAGAAACTGAAAGCAATAGCATAGAAAACATAAGCCCAAAAGCTGTATTTTATAAAGAGTAGTAAAATAGACAAATCCCCCTGAATAAAGGGGAAACAAACAAAAATATACAATATTAGGAATATGAACGGTGATAATAGGGAAAAGAATGAATATTGGCAACAAACCAAAAAATTCAGAGAAATCAGAAAATTTCCTAGCAAATATAAATTACCTAAAACCAGTAAGAAGTGGAAAACCAGGATAAACTTATTATCACAAAAGATACTGAAATGACAAAGTATAATTCTGAAAAATAGACTGGATCCAAATGAGTTTTATCTAACTAATAATTCCAGTGCCATTTAGGATGAGAGGAAAGTATGGAAAGAAATCTCTCCTGTTTTATAAAACACATGGCTTTGATGTCAAAACCCAATACAATAATAAAAAATATGTCTACAGACTTAGGAGCTCAGATGTAAAAATTCGAAATATGATTTTAACAAATAAAATTCTGCAATATATCAAGAGTGTAATTTAATATGGCCAAGCAGGACTTTTTTCAATAATTCAAAAACATTTCAACATCGGGAAATCTATCAACATCTGTTATACCAGCAAACTAAAGGAGGAAAACTGTGTGATCATAACAATATTTGCTGATAAAATATTTGAAAAATATGGCAACTCTTTCTAATAAAAATACCATGGAAAGTTTAAACAGAAAATACTGTTTACCAAAAGACTATTAATATTTGCCAAACCAAAATTAATCTAATTGTGAAACACAAAACCTATTTCAATTAAACTAAGGAACTTGTTGTAGGGGTGCTGCTGTCACTATTAATATTTTATCTTAAATCTTTTAAAAATACGATAAAAAGACGAACATTGAGAGGAAGAGACAAAGATAATATTCTAGAAATTTTAAGAGATTGCAGTAAAACAAAATGAATACAGAAAAATTGTTACTAAAAGTCAAGAAAGTTTGGCAAGGTAGCTGGATATAAGATAAATATACAAAAACCACTAGCCTTCCTCCTCTCCAGTAATAAGCACTTAGTAATGGAAATAGGAAAAAAAAATATTTAGGGAAAAACTTTATAGGAGAGGTATATGCACTATAATAGTGGTTGAATTCCCGATCACTAGGGAAACTATGGAATAAAGTATCAATATACATACATATCATAGAAAATTAGGCAGCCATTAGAACAGATAACCTCAGAATCTAACAAGTGGCTTGAAGAAATGTATAAAGTACAGTTGAATAAGGTAAAATATCTTTGAAAAATATATATGTATGTGTGTGCTTATAAATGTACATACACAGAGACAAACTAAAACTCCTACATATGTATATGTGTGAAGATACATATATGTATATACATCACATATATGATGACATGGGCACAAAGAGAGGGGTACACTCTTGGTTTGTATTTCTCTAATGAGTAATAATGTTGAGCATATTTTTGCATGCCATCAACATCTGGATATCTTCTTTGATGATGTATTTGCTCAAATCTTTCACCCAAATTTAAAATTGGGTAGGGTGAGCATGGTGGCTTGTGCCTGTAATCTCAGCACTTTTGGAGGACAAAGCAGGAGAATCTCTTGAGGCCAGTTTGAGACCATCCTGGGAAACATAATAAGACCCTATCTCTACAAAAAATACAAAAATCAGCCGGGCATTGCAGTGTGTGCCTGTAATCCCAGCTACTTGGGAGGCTGAGGTGGGAGGATAACTTGAACCCAGGAGGTTGAGGCTGCCATATGCCAAGATTGTACCACTGCACTCCAGCCTATGTGACAGAGCAAGACCCTGTCTATCTATATTTTTTTAACTGGGCTATTTGTTTTCATATTAAGTTTTGAGTATATATTCTGGATACAAGTTCTTTATCAAAGATGTGCTTGCAAATATTTTTCCCAGTCTTTGGCTTTTCTCTTTATTCTCTTAATGTTTTTCAAATAGCAAAAGTTCTTAATTTTTATGAAATCCAATTTATCAATCTTTTTAAATTGATTG